GATTGCCCGGGCATTCTTACTAAAGACGATTCATTTTAAAATCAATGTCGTTTAGTTAGTGCGTTGGTTGTTTCAAAAGCCGTCGGGGGACGGCACCCCGCCCAAGCGAAGTCGGGGGACTTCGCTTAACGCCATTCACTAAACGAGATTCAATTAAAAACTCCTATTCACACCAATCACCCAACGGAAGGCGGCATACTGCGGATCAGCATAAGGCGCACGATTGATCAGGAAAGGAAAATCCACCCGTAGCGTCAGTGGCTTTGCTTTCTCAAACACCCCCCAGCTTTTCACCGTAAAGGCAAAGCCTACACCTGCATCAGCACGCAGGTCGCTCCACATCGTTGTTGGCGTTTGTACGGTATAGTCAGGCAACGAATAACGGCTCAACTCCATGATCCCTGCATCGGCAAATAAGTAGGCATCTACATGCAACCACTTGCGTGTCAGGCGGGGCGAAAGGCGAATATAATTGTCGAAATCTATTTCCACATTACCGGCAATACCGCTGCGTCCTTTATAACCGGAGAGGATCTCACCATCACGCTCGTCAGCAATGAAATAACCGGCATAACCACGAAGGTTAAGTCCGCCGCCCTGTTGAAAATGGCTGGATTCATAACGGGAGTAACCACGCCAGTCATCCGGTACAAAACCAGCGCTGCGGGTATATTTATTCTCCATCATTTCCTCGGGGTTAGCACCGGCAGCGTATAATGCACTTTCGTTAGGAATATTATTACCGGTACCAAAACGGCCAAACAACCGGGTACGTACTTCCAGCTTGCCCAGGTTATTGACGTTCTTCGCCTCCAGCTGCGCATAGGCATAGTTAAAGGCATCACTATTATTACCGTTGAACATCGGCGCCCTTAATGAAAATGTATAATTACCCGCACCTCTCTTATACCGGTAGTTGTGCGTCCAGGCTGCATTTAAAGACGTATTCACGCGTTTGTTGGTACTGCTCCATTCCTGCGGATGCACCAGGTAGTCGTAGCTATAAGTACCCGGGCGCCACATGGTCTGGCCATATAACTGAATGGTATTAGCATCATTGACCAACCAGTTAAAACCGGCGCGATGATACCAGAGCCCTTCCAGGAAACGGCTGTTGATCTGCGTCTGCAACTGGGGCAAGCGGCGGGTAAGCGGCGAGGTATAGTTGAGGCTGTAGTTGATCGCAGCATAGCGCTCGTAATAACCCTCGCTCTTAAAGTTCACATACTGATCGTACTGACCGGCATGGGTATTGTACCAGATGGTCGCATCAAATTTATGCAGACTGTACAGGTAATCGCTCTCTACATGCACTCCCACTTTCACCCCATCAACCGGGTTCCACCAGATATCCGGGCGCACATAGCTGCGATAATGCCGGCGGTCCCAGGGAGCATTCAATCCACCATCCAGCTTTACCAGCATTGCCTTTGGCGAGATGAGCATGCCTTTTGTTTTATAGTTATCCAGCGGGTTAATGTCGGCAAGACGGTAAGTCGTATCGATCTGTACATTACGTACACCGGAAGGAATGGCAATATGGGCGGTATAGGTAGGGTTGATCTTGCCCCAGCCATACCATTTAGGAAGCACGGTTCCTTCCGTCTGCTTTTCAAACCAGGTATTGGGTATATGAAAACTATACTGTTCTCCATTCTTAGCTTTTACCGTAAAGTCAATAGGCATTTGCATCTCCCCGGTACGGCGGAATTTGACAGCAAATGAATCCTGCCCTTTTATCTTACGGATATTGGCGATACCATAGTCAATGGCCTTCGTGGTTTCCAGCCATTGGTCGAAAAACCAGTTCAGGTCCTGATGTGTATATTGGATAATGCTGGCGCGGAAATCTTCAAAGTAAGGATGTGCTATTTTCCACTGATTAAAATAATGCTGTATGGCACTGGCAAAAAGTGAATCGCCCAAAACATACTGCAGGTTATAAAGCATGGAAGCCGTCTTATAATAGACCTGGCGATAACCGCCCTCATGCCCTAAGGCGTTATGAAAATCGTTGGAGTGCGTGTTCAGCGGCAGCTCTTTCTGGTTGAGCGCGTCATAAGTATAGGCATTCAATACCACGCGGTCC